AAAAAAAAAAAAAAAAAAAAAAAAAAAACACTCTGAAAGAAGAAGAGAAAGAATAAAATGATCCAATAAAAACTCATCAGATTAATTGTACAAAACTCCCTTTTCAAAATCTCATTTATGGTTTAGAAAACAATTTAAAAAAACGTTTCTGAAGCAAATGCAATTTTATTCATATTTTTCATATGGCCAGTTTTGAAACCTCACCAATGAGAATGATTATGCATTCTAGTTTGCTCTTAGAGAAAGAGTGGTACTTTCAGTGAATGCAATTTAGAGAAATGTGTTTTCACACATTACAGCCCTGTTCCTTCTCAACTACAGATTGAAATCCCCAGTGAAGCAGGCTCACGTCAGAAGTAAGATTCAAATTTATGAGCTAAAATGTGGCCATGTTGCCATTTGTTTATAACATATTTTAATGAAGTAAGCCCCAGAAGCCCCTAAGAGGGTTCTATTTGCATGAAGCGAATTCCAGGATTAGTTTTACTATCACATTTTTTTAAAAAAATCTGTAGGAATTCAATATGGATATTGTCAGAAAGAAATTCTGGTCTTGTTTGAAACACAGAATTGATCTTTCTAAGGGGAAAATAGTATTGTTTTAGAAAATTAATCCACAATGAATACATAAGAAATTAAAAATTAATAACAAATCGAAAATCAAACAACATGAACAAGAGAAATAATAAGTCCATCTTTATTAGGCTTTAATCATTGGATCCTTCAAAATATTCCTTGATTAGAGAAAAATATCCATGACCTCTCTTACCTTTATAGCAACTACTATCTTTTTCTATTCCTCTTGCATTGCAAGTATAAGAAAAATTTGGTAATCTTCAATGACCACTCAAGCCAAGCTTAACACCTATGAGGGTATTAGAGGAATTATTAGCTGGTTTATATATAGATGAGCACATTTGGGTTTGTGCCCAGCTGAGGTCCTCATAACGGTGGATTGCAAAAGAAAATTTCAGTCATGAAGACTGTTTTGTCTACATTTTGCCCAGTGATCCATAGATTGATCAACTTTTTTTTTTTTTAAGTATTGAGATTGAACCCAAGGGTGCTCTATCATTGAGCCACATCCCCAGTCCCTTTTTAATTTTATTTTATATCTTTGAAACAGGGTCTTACTAAATCACCCAGGCTGACCTTGAACTTTCTATCCTCCTGCCTCAGCTTCCTATGTCTCTGGGATACAGGCATATGCCACCACTCATTAACTAATTCATGTAACTGTGTGAACTAGCTGTGTTTTCTCTGATAGAATGTTTCATCCTCCCTATTATTCAGGCAAAAAAAAAAAAACTAACAGTTACCAGTCCCTTCTCCCTCATGATCCACTTCCAACTGAACAAATCCCCTCCTGAACAGCATGAGAATCTGCCTGCTCCTCTTTTCCCTGGCGCTATACAGCATTCACAATGTCCACACCACCCCTGTGCTTTCGGTTCCCACCCCAGTCATCTCCATTAGCATTACCTTCTAATTCATTCATGGCTCTTGTGCTTGGAAGTCTTTAATGGTTCCCTGGGAACAGGGAGAGTCTGAATACAGGAGTTGGTGTTAATAGCATTCAGCTCCATCCTATCTGTCCAGAGTTAATCACTCCCAACATCTACACTAAACCCCACCTGCCATATACACAAGCTCCATCCATTCTTATCAGACTGAATATCTCACTCTGTGACCTGTTTTTTTTCATATTCTGAAGACTTCACTGAGGTCTCTGTACTCTCTGCCATTCATGCCATTCCATTCCTGCTTCTGTCCTGTGTCTGTCATGGAGGATCCTCAGTAGGTTGTGGCCTAGTGATACAACTAGACATTATAAGCCTGGACATGGTTTCCTATATATTCCTACCTGATTTCACATGGACTGACAGGGTGGAGGCCTGTTATTTTCTGGCTTCAAACTTCCTCAGCAGAGAGTTCCAGAACTTCAAAGGCAAAGCATCTCAGTCTTTCCTGAGATCCACTGCTCGATTCTCTTTTTACCTACCCCAACTTCACCTTTAGCCTCCTGTGTTCTAAGTTTGGCTCTGGAGGCTAACTAGCCTCTCTCCTAAAAGGGGTGAATATTCCCTTTTATCTTGCCCAATGGGACATCCAAA